TAATAGGAAGAAAAGGTCTAAAGGTGTAGGGGAAGTGGGAGAGGTAGGTGAAAGGTTAGAAGTGAAAAGAAAAAAATATCAGAAAAGAAAAAAATGAAAACAAGTCTTTGTAAATAGGAAAGGGTAGAGGGGGTGAAGGGAGGCCAGGGGGGATGGGGAAAAAATAAGAACCAACATATATCATGTAAAGGTACAAAATCTCAATGATGACTGTAACTGCACTGTATACTAAAAAGTACCAGTAAACTTAATGAAAAAAAAAAAGTACCTAAAAAAAAAGGAAAAAACTCAATAGTCGTCTCAGCTCTCTCATACGGCCTTTCCTCACGTGGCCCAGCCACAAGGCCCAAGCTGCCTCCCCTTCCCAGCGATCAGCCATCCTAACCACAGTCCCTACTGGTCTCAGCGTAGCCCTCAACTCTGCTCCATCATGGTATTTGTCACCATCTGAAATTTAGGTGTTTGTTCACTTACTTCTTTACCAACTTTTCTCTCACTAGGCTCATTATAAAGGGTTCTTCCGCTTTGCTCTCTCTCTCACTTGGGTGTGTGTGTGTGTGTGTGTGTGTGTGAGAGAGAGAGAGAGAGAGAGAGAGATGTGGAAGTCTCTCTTTGTGTCTTACAGGTAATAGGCTAATCACCACCCTTTATCTCCACCTGATCTCTTTTTCTCATTCACTATGCCCAGGGATGGGAAACTTTCTGAAAAGGGTCAGATAGGAAATACTTTCGGCTTTGCAGCCATATACAAGGTTGAAAATTCTATTTTTATGGATTTATGTACAGTATTTATTTTGAGACACTGGAATTGAAACCAGAGCTTTCGCACTGAGCTACATCCCTAGCCCTTAAAAAAAAATTTTTTTTTTTAATTTTGAGACAGTCTTGCTAAGTTGCCCAGGCTGGGCTTGAACTTGTGATCCTCCTGCCTCAGTCTCCAAGAATGCTGAGATCACAAGCGTGGGCCACCATGCCCAGCTTATTTTGTTTCTGTTTTTCCTAGCAATCCTTTAAAAATGCAAATACTACTCTTAGCTGGGGGGCTACGTAAGAATAGGCTAGGTGGAAAAGCTAAGAAAACAAAACAAAAGCAGGCGGAGGATAGGATTTTGCTCACAGGCTGCAGTTTCCCTCCGGAGCTCCAAGCTCCACCACCGTAAGCACCCAGAGTTACTACTTCTGCCCTCTAATTTGTATTGCAGTACTAAGCATCGAGTAGGTTCTCAGCAAATGCAGAGCTCAGTTAAACTGGCTGGGGGTACAGACAGAGCAGAGAAAGCAAGGTCACACTGGCCTGACAGGTGTTATCAGGGGACCTGGCCTGCAGCCCAGACTGAGAGCCCAGAGGTTCACAGGTAACGGGACAGACAGCTTCTCTCAGTCCCAGGCTCTCGCCCATTGCCCTGCAGGTCACAGATCTCACAGCTCTCCCGATCCAAGCAGCAACTCCGCCACCGTAAACAGCTGCCTTGTCGTCCATTTCCTCACAGCACAGCTGACTGGGACCCGGAAAGAGCACATCCTTGCCAGGGACTGGCCTTGTTCTGTGTTACTCGTTCTGAATATGTGGTTCTCCTGCTACCCAGCATTCCGGAAGCTGCATCTCTCTCCTGATGTATCAGTGACTTAGCAAATATGGAATTACCTACTTAACTCCTAGGAATTTAATTCTCAGGGGATGGCCAGTTTCTGGACAGAAGCAAGTTTCTGATTTTGCCGTAGTGCCAACTCCTGAGACAGTGGCAATAATGAAGGAAGGGAGGAACAAAAGCATGGGAAGCTGCAAGGCCATCCACAGTCAGGGCCGCAGGCCCCATTCTGGAGCCACAAGAATGCCAGAATTTTGCAGTGTTTCCTGAGAAATTTCAGAACCGGTGCTATGGCTTCCCCTAAGGCAGTCTTGCTTCTGTAGCTCAAGCAGTCTGAGGTCAGCGCCGTCTGCCCCAAGAGAGGGGTGACTCTTTCCTCTGGCATCCAAAAAGCCTAGGATGACCGTCAGCACCTGCCCTGCTGACAGCTGTCTTGCTGGGCATGGAAGAACAGGGAGGGAGGGGAGCAGAGATGCTATTTCATGTCCCGCTTGGTCTTCAACCTCCACAAAGCGGTGGAGCCACCCACAGAACACTGGCTCTATCTCCAGGCACTTCCGCCCTCCTCTTTCACATCTTGAGATCCCAGAATAATTCACTGCAATGTTCTTTGTCGACTCTGTGCCACCCCAAATTCACCTCCCCATTTTTATGGAAGGAGAAAAAGGAACAAATGGTCCCTTGGGCGTTGTAACCAAGCAAGCAGATGCTTCCAAGGGAAGGTAAGTGGCAGATGCGGAACCGCCTGATGGAGGAAAACACATTATCTAACCAAGCTTCACTCCGATCCAGCAAGTCTCACATTTTAGATAAGAAAGAAATAAAAGGGTGGAAATAGTTTATTTAGGGGCAGGCTATGAGGTAGCGATGGGACAGGAAACAGCATCGGAGTCCCTTGTTTCATACAAGGTTTGATGTGCAGGGGAGCGAGTATGGGCAGTGACAACAGGGAACAAGGAGCCACAGCCAGGGGAGGTGGCAGGAGGTAAGGAACGAAGGCCTGGGGAGGGGCGCGGTCTGAAGAAGGTGACTCAAAGCAAAGTGAGGATGACTGAGGGAACCAGTGAGGGAGAGAAGGAACTGTACGAAATATGTGACAGACAGCATGGAGACCATATTCTGCAGGAGGTTCAAAAGCAACAATAATAAATATGAATGCAGGAGGAGCCGACAAGAGAGCTACAGCAAGAGAGAGGTGGAAGTTTTCTTTACTCTTGAACGTCAGTGCAAGTACCAAGTTCCTCTTGCTAGCTGCTAAGGCGTGCAATGGTTTATCCTCCGAGGGTCCGTGTGCTGGTGTGGTCCCCAGTGTGGCAGTGTTAAGAGATGGTGGAACCTTTAAGAGGTGCAGCCTAGGAGAAGGTGGTTAAGTCACTGGAGGTTCTGCCTTGGGAAGAGACTGGTATGTCTCACCTGGGAACAGATCATTATAAAGGAAGGCACCTGGATCCTCCTGCATTGTAGCTGGTTCCTTTCTGTTTCTCTGCCATTCCGTGATCCAGACAAGGGACCCTGAACTGACAAGGCAACCAGATCTTGGACTTTCCGCCTCCAAAACTATGAGCTAAACAAACCCTGCTTATCAATGACGTACCTGCCTCGATCATTTTGTCCCAGCAACAGAAAACAGACCAATGTACTATTAGCCAGAATCAAAAGTGGTAGTGGGAAGCATCCATGGGTGTTTCAGATCAGTAGGACCAGGGAAGCAGTAGAGAAAAAGCAGCTTGCCAGGAGGTGGAGGTTAAGCTCCTTATGCTGGCGTTTTCATGAGGCCTGGCAAGCAGGAAGGTTCCTTCATACATATCGGATGAAAGTACAGCAAAGGAAGGCTTGTGCCAGAGATCTGAACAAGATGTAGTCCGAGGCACGCCTGAGCTGAAAATCTTTCTCTCCCCAACTATTTAATCTGTGCAACTAATTACTGCACAGTGATATTCAGGTGCATCAGTGTGTGACAAGCTACCAAGTAGGAGCTCAGTACAAAGCCCTGACTCCATGACAGGGTGGTGATCGCTGGGCAGCACTGAAAGATTAGGGAGGTCCAGTTCCCCCGCAGCTCTCAAATATGTGGGCATACAGAATGCCAGAACAAGTTTCACTCAGAGGGTTTCTTCCCTCAGACACTATGGGATTTGGAGCTTCTTCCCTCATTTATCTATTGGTGTAAAAATCAGGTTAAAAAAAAGAAGAAACTATTTTATTCAAGTAAATAACCAAGGAGGCAAGTCTGCTGGGGAAGAAAACTCTTCCCAAGTTGCTATGTTTACAGTCTGATGCCTTCTGGACAGCTTACTGGAGTGCAGAGGAAGTTCTACTTACTGAGTGAAACCAACTCAAACCCACTGCCCACCTTTCTGCCAAGGTGATCTGGGAAAGGTCCAACTCCCTGGCCTTTAACTTAAGACTGGACAAATTGTGTATTTACCGACTGATGTATACAACACGACCACGTAAGTAGGCCTACTATGTAGAAAACAGTAAGAAGGGATGTTGGGGGTACCTTCTGCTCCACCTTAAGTCATGTATTATGTATCACCAAAGTTGTAAGTTTTTCATTTATAACGACGATAACCAAGTGACCAGGCAAGTATGTTTTGAGGATTGTAATCTTGAAAGTTTTGAGACTTGACATGGAAAAACACTTCGAAACATATGTCCAGGTAAGGTTTCTCTGGCTTGGCAATACTGACATTTTGGACTCCGTTTTTTGTTAGGAGAGGCTGCTGTGGACACTGTTTAGATGTTCAGCTGCACCGGTGACCCCTACCAACATATGGCAGTGATGATGCCCCTCCCCCAGTCATGACAATCCAACTGTCCCCCAGCACTGCCAGTCTTCCCACAAGGGCAACACCACCTTAGTGGCTGAGAACCACTAAGATAGTCTGTCTTTAAGATTGTACAACGAATGTCCATAAGGCAAAGCAAAAGTTACCAAGTCAGGATGCTAAAGCTTCTCATGCTGATCGTTACATGGCATCTGACACTTGAAAATGTGCTCTAGGGCCTGGGATTTAGCTCAGTGGTTCTGCCACCTGCCTTGTAAGCACAAGGTCCCAAGTTCGATCCCGGTTAAAAAAAAAAAAAAAAAAAAAAA